CTTTCAAGGGATCCTCTCTGGTTCAGTACGTTGATGATCTCCTGCAAGCAGCACCCAGAATTCAGGTCTGTCCAAATGACAGCCAACAGCTTCTTCTGCAACTTCATCTAAGGGGTCAGAAGGTTTCTAAATCAAAGGTGCAGGGGTGCTGCCCCCAGGGGAAGTACCTCAGTTTCATTCTGTCTGCTGGTACTCACTGTTTCCCCAAAGCATGTACAGGTTCTTCAACAATTGTTGGTTCCCACAACTAAAAGACAATTACATGTTACTTGGGGAGCAGCTAGATGGATATTTCCTCCAGTAGATTCCATCCTCTGGTGAGATCACTAAGCCTCTAGTTTTTCGAACCAAAGATAAGGTTTCAGAACCTTTGCAGCCTGGACCAGAACATCTTATTGCCCTTGTGGACTTAAGGAAGCCTTGTTAGCTCCAGTGCTAGGACTTTCAGATTATAGTAAGCCCTTTTCTCTTTTTGTATATGAACATAAGGGAGTAGCTTCAGAGATCCTCACTCAATCCCTTGGTTCCTCTCTTCACCCTGTAGCATATTACTACACTGAGCTAGATTCAGTGGCTGCAAAGGCTCCTCCTTGCTGGAGAGTGTTAGCAGCCACCACCCTTTCAGCTGAAAAGGCATGTGATTTGGTTTTAGCAGCCACACTTGTCATGCAGTGTCCCCATGAGGTTGAGGCTTATCACACTCAAGCTTCCCTGATCAAAGACTTACTAGATATGAAGTGACTTTATTAGGCAGAGGAAAGGGGATGTTAAAGTGTAATTTGGTTCTCAACCCAGCCATGTTACTCCCTGAGATGAAATGTTATTTTCCAAATTTAATAGGGTGCCTCCCCATAACTGTTCCTCTGTGGTAGATATGGCCAAGAGACCCTGCAATAACTTCTCTGATACCCTCTTGCAGAACACTGTCCACATCCTATATACTGATGGTTCCTCTTTTATGAGATGGCATCTGGTACACAGGCAATGCCGGGGTCTCCAACCGTGACATTGTTTGGGCAGCCTCTTTGTCACCTAACCCCAGCACCAAAGCTGCCAAATTGATGTGCTTGTATAAGCTTGCCCTCTGGCTACCGGACAAAATACGACCCTCTAAACCAATCTCTATTATGCCTTTGGAGTCCGTCATACCATCGGGAAGCTGAGGGGTTTCTTGACTTTTTCTGGTAAGGTCATCATGAACACATAATACATTGATAAACTTCTATCCTAGTGGCTCTGGTTTCCTAGTGGTCCAGCTATTACTCATTGTCCTGCCCACACTAATGGTACTGAACTTGTTTTAAGAAGTAACAAATGTGATGACCCTACCACAAAATGTATTTCCCTTGAAGGCCTTGTGCATGTGTTTCATCTTTCATGCTTTGATGATGCTGCCCTCTCTCTATCTTATAATGACTCTGAGATTGCAAAATGGAAACAGTATTTCTGAGCTAAGCAAGTATCTAGGGTCTGCGTGACTGTGAAAGGCAAACCACTTCTTTGGAGTTTCTATCACCAGGTATGTCTGTTCGCCCACAAGGGAGGCCATTTGGGCACACAATGAATTATTGATATGATCAGAAGGGCATGAGTTGCCCCTGGTATTACCCATGTTGCTGTGTGCATTTGAGCCTCCTATCCTACCTGTCAGGCATTTAATCAACTGCTGAAAGTGACGGTGATGACACAAAAGGGATGCCCCCTAGCTTATACTTCTTTTGAGCACTTGCAAATTGATTTCATGTGCACGCCTAAGTCTGGCCTCTGAAGAGTCTAAGGAGTTGTTGATCAGCTCACTCAGTAGGTGGAAGCATTTGATGGCTTTCTAAAGCCAAAGTGAGTTTTGTGGCTAAAATTTTTCTCAAAGAAATTGTGCTCTTCTTTGGCCCTCTTGACTCAGTCAGAATGTCTCACTTCACTGACACAATTCCCAAATTTTTACTTGTCTTGGGGTGACTTCTGGATTTCATGACCTTTAACACCTCCAGAGTTCTGGTCAGGTTGAACATATGAACAAAGAACTTAAGACTTAAGACTGGCAAACTGCACTGAGACCCACCTGAAATGGCCTGAAATGGCTTTATTTCATCTGCAAAGGGGAGAATTACACCTTTCTCCTTTTGAAATGCCTTGTGGTTATTCTCCTATAAAGGCGAAACTTTTCTCCCTAGTATATACTTCATACTTGGAGGAGATAATTTTGTTGTTTCTTCTATACAGGAACTGAAAAACAGACTAGGGAAACTTCACAACATAGGAGCTGCAGTACAGACAGGGCCTTTGGACTTTTCCTTACATGGTCTTGCAAAATCATCCTGGAGATAAGGTCTACATCAAGAATTCCAGCAGACCAGTGGAACTCAACCTGCCTGGGAAGGACCATTCCAAGTATTGCTGACCACCACAACTGCAATCAAGAACTGAGAAAAAGACTCTTGGATACACTATGTCCACATAAAACTTGCTCCTTACCGTTTCGCATGAGAGCAATGTATCCAAAGATCTTTTTGTTTTTGTTTAATCTTAATATTTTCATCCATTGTACTTTCTTCCCCAGCTGACTCTTCTCTGGAAGACTGGAGAACAAGGGTGCCTAAAAGCAATCTACTTGTCTTTAGGGAAATTTTGGCAAATTTAGGATACTGAATACTTTTTAAATGGATACTTTGTACTATACCACTTGCTTTATGCCTATGCATCCTTATTAACATAATTTGCAAATCAAGTTGGCTGTTGCTTAAATCTGATGTTACTACCGATTGCTCTTTCCAAATTCTACTCCGATCAGGAGGACTGGAAAAAGCCTTAATACTATTAGTAAAATTCATGGTGATGTAGGGCATGCTTTGTATCACCTTAGAGCAATTGGGCCCCACCCCATGTATGCTGGATTTGTCATCATCTCCACCAGAGAGACCCTGATTTATGGGTAGTGCTCTCTATTAAAATTCTCCTACAACCAGCAGATTACATTGACTCTGGGTATTCTAAAACACTACCTTTGAAAAGGGCTTCTATACCCTTAACTTAAGCTACTTACAATATTTATGCCCCTAGAAGGAAAATAGAAGATAACAAGCCAAGACCAATATCACTGACCCAATTTTATAATAAACAATTTACTTTCCAATTTAATGGGTGCCTTGATGTCATCAAATTTAGGATTGTATTGCTTATATTTACCACTCCTCTTCTGAGTTTTCATTTCTGTGTCACCAAGATGCAAGCTCCTGATGATAGTGTAGATTTAGGAGATTTGAAGATGTGTAGATTGACTTTTGCTTTTCCTGATATTGCTAAAGAAGACCCTTTTATTTGTGCCAGAACTTGCCTCTTTAATGGGATTAGAGACAAGAAACCTCAGTGTATTTCTTTGGCTAACCTTACGAATAAATGGCTCTAGCTGGACCAAGTATGATTCACCCTTCAGTACGAATTTATACTATAAGAATAATTGAACCTTTGGAGGAATTACATATCCTACTTCAAAAGTTCCTTGGGGACTAGTGGCCCCTGGACAATTCTTTGTGGCAATAAAGCTTATTCTTCCTTTCCCCTAAATTGTCTGGGACATGTGGGATCACCTATTTGGTCCCACCAGGAGTTTTAAACATAAAAAAAAGGTTACAATCCAAAACTCTGTAAAACAACATAGAAAGGGGATGAAATGCCTTTGGCCCCTAACTCCATATATGGGGGTCTATGCTTTGGAACAGGCTGCTAGGAACCTCTCACTTGAAATTGAAAAACTTATGGCCCCAAGTGAGTCCATCTCCTCCTTCCAAATTGAGGTAGATTCTTTAGCACAAATGGTCTTGAAAAATCGTATGGTCTTAGACCTTGCTATGGCTTCACAAGGAGGAGCCTGTGCTACTATCAATCAGTCTTATTGTTCCTATATTAACTGATCAGGGGAGGTTGTGATGAGTCTGCAGGGAATCCAACAGATTACAGCAAAAACACAACTGCCTAAACTAAATTAGACTAGTGGAATCCTTCCTCCTGGTTTTCTTGGTTGCAGGGAAATGGCATATTAGCCACCATAGGTAAATGGGTTCTTTTCATTTTATGCATCATTATTATTCTTAGACTTTGTATTAGTTGTTGTTCAAAAATACGTGAAAGGATTTGTCCTAGTGGTCTTTTCTTGGTTCTTGATTCTGATTACAAGCATATAAAAAACCTTGTAAATTTGGTTTATAGAAAGTGATCCATGATGGGGAGGGGATAACCCCCCCATCACCACCAGGATCAAAAGGGAGGAACTGTGAGAATCGAACTGACTCCATTTTATGAACAACCTCCATTTTGAGACTTTAGTTTTGTTTTCCCATACATCTGATTTTGGGGAATTCCACCTGTTTGCACATCCCCTCCCAACTTGGAAAGTACCAAATTTAACCTCCAATAAGAAATCAGATTGCATAATCTTACATCCTGTTCTGTATCCTTTTTGTTGTTTTCTTTTAATGTATAAAAATCTGTGCAAAAATCTGTATTTAGGGTCATTGTGCCTGCTGAGGGGCCCTGGACCCTATTTGTTCTGCAACTGCATACCTTGCAAATAAATCACATAGTGTGGACTTTGTTACCTCAGTTATAAATTCACTCGTGACAGTCTAAATCTTGGCTTTGCCTCTTACTAGCTGGGTGACTGTGGGCAAGTCATATAACTTAGCTTCAGTTTTCTCATTTGTAAAATAGGAATAATACTTGTATTACTTAACCTCATAGAGTTGTTGTGAAGAAAGCATTCTATAAACCTTAAAATGCTATAGAAATTAGTCAAGTTACTTCCCTTCTCTGAACCTCAGTTTCTTCAGCTATAAAACGAAAACCATCATACTTATGCTACCTACCTACATTATAGGGTTAAAAGGAAATCCTTTGGAAACTATAAAACACTATATAAATGTTAGTATCTATTATTAGTAGTAATTTAAATAATATAATATTAATGACTATCCATGACTTGGCTTCTCTGGGGCTTTAGCACTGACCTCAGCTGACCTGCTTCAATGCCCGGCAGTAGATGCCTCTCAGCCTGGAACCAGCTTTCCTTTTCTTGACTCTTTGTCTTTGATGTTGTTGTGGAAAGACCATTGGATCTGTAGTAAGAAGGCCTTAGTTTGAACTCTAGTATTGCTACTTATTACCAGTGTGACCTTGAACAAGTCACTTTTTCTTGTCTGGACCTATGTTTTCTCTTTATAAATGAAGCGGTTGAACCAGATGACCTCTATAAGTCCTGTGATACTGTGGTAGTTGCTGCTTGGTTTAGCCCTTGGACTCTGAGCCCCATCTCATTTACTTATGGCCATATTTTGAATAAGAGCAAAGTTTAATTTACAGTTTGAAGTCTGACCCCAATATTCAAATTTTTCTAATATTCAAGTGCCTAACACAGATCTCTGTTCAGACAGAATCAACTTGGGAAAAAATATTAACTACATATTTAAAAAAACAATTTTTAAGAAAGATTATGTAAATTACATCTAAGGGCTTATCTTTTATACATGATTAGTAATTTATTAATTTTTTCAGTACCCTTCATTCTTACTGGCCTTAATCTTCATGAAAATGTAAGTGGCTCTGGAACAAACAAATGTACAACTGCTAATAAAGGGCTTGGAGATCTACAGCATTTTTTCTGCTACTGATTCAACTGTCAATCACTCGGCAAAAATGGGTATCAGTTTTTCAGAAAACTGGAAAGAAAACAGGATGAGTAGAAAACTAGAATTCTAGTCCCAGTTTTGCTACTAACTTGCATTACAGAAATTCATGAATTGATGAGAAACTTCCAAATGTAAATCAAACTTTGCTTTTTATTCAGCACAACAGTCTAAGTGCCATACAAACTCAAAATTCATTATTGGATTTACACTTACTCAACACAGGCAAATCACTTCACTTCCTGGGACTAAATCTGTAAAATGAAAATCAGACTACACAATCTCTAAGGTTTCTTCCTGTCCTCAACTTTTATTTGTTATGTCTTAAGTTTGTTCTTTTCTAACTCAAACCTCCCACATTCTGTTCTCCTTACACATTTTATGCTCTTTGAGATCTCGCATTCTAGGATTATATGATTAGAGAGGTGATATAGTCCTATTGTACTTAGCCCCAAGCAGACTACAGACACAGCACTCAGTGCTTCCAGGATGACCATATTTTAAGAACACATAGACAACAAACTAGAGTACCAAAAAGAGTGGCCAGAATGACGAGGGGTCTGGAAACCATAGAATTTGCATCCAGTATAAAGATGTAGGGATAATTCTCCTAAAGAAGAGATATGGGTACCATGACAGTTGTCTTCAAGTACTTGAAGGGGGCTATCATGTATTAAACTATGTCCTGCTTGGTCTCAGAGGGCAGAACCAGAAACAGTTGGGGCAGGGCACATTACAGAGAACAGATTTCAGTTTGGAATCAGGAACTTTATAACAATTAGAGCTACACAGCAAAGGAAGGAATGTACAGCTCTGTGAACTCCCCTTCATGGGACATGTTCAAGCAGAGGTTAATAATTTGCAAGAGTGATGTTGCAGAGAAAATTCCTGCATAGGGTGGGAGGCAGAAATGTGTGACCTCTAAAGTCCAGGATCTATCCAATCAATGTGACAAATACACAAATAATTCTAGTACAAATTAGAATGTTTGAAGTGTCATAAACCTCATGAAATCACAGAATTTCAGTGTTGCCAGGGACCTCAGTGGTCACCTAGTCCAACTAATAACTGGACAAGAGTCTCTACAACCATATATTGAATAAGTGGTCACCCAACTCTGCCTGAACACCTCCAGGGAGGGGAAACCAATTACCTCTGGAGGCAGACCATTGCACTTCTGGATTTCTCTAATAGTTAGAAACTTTTTCATTATATCAAACCAAAATTGACCTCTCTTCAATTTCTACCCATCATTTCTAGTTCTGCCTTCAAGGGCCAAATAGAACAAATCTAATCTCTCTTACATATGACAGCCTTTCTACTACTTTAAGGCAGCTATCATGTCCCCTGAGCCTTTCCTTCTTCAGGCTAAACATCCTCCCTAACTCTTTGAATATAAAGAGAGGTAAAGAGGTTCTGTAAGGGGTTGAAGGAGAGAGAGAGCACACCCTGTGGAGGGGAACTGGGACTTTGGAGACTTTCAGTCTCTCACTCAATTCAGGAATCTCCCCTACAGAATCCTTGAGAGTTAATTATCCTGCTTTTGCTCAGAAAAAGCCAGTGATAAAGAACTCCCTACCTTTTGAATCAGCTCATTCCATTGTTGGACATTTCAAAATTAAGAAAATCCTTCCATATGGTGAAAAAACTATAAAATAGTAATAGTAATAGTTGACACATAACACTTTTACAAAATGTTTTCACATCCATTACTTCACTTAATCCTCACAGAAACCCCAAAGGAGGGAGTGTAAATGTTATTATCTACAATTTACAAATGAGGAAACAATCTCAACAAGATTAAATGTCTTGTCCGGGATCGTATATCTTATAAGATTGTCCATGTCTTTTGCCTCCAAATCATTAGCTCTTTCCACTCTTTTCAAATACATCTGTAAGAACCAGGCCAACATTTCTTAAAAAGATATAGAAGAAAAACTAAAGTTCGCAATCTCTTCCATTACCAGTAAGTTGACATCCTCTCTTCTTAAAGAGATGTCATCTTCTCTGTTTGGGAAGGAATAGGACAGCCTGGAGAACCTGTATAGTATGCAGATTATCAGCATTCCTTACATCACTGGGATACTGAAAACCATTCAGGCTTTTAACATCTGTAGATTGGATAATCATCATGCATTGTTGCCTGGTTTACCATGCAGAATGATTAGAGCTTGTGAAATGGTCTGCCATGTGGTGGTGTGTTTTGTACAACAAACAAAAACATTGCCAATTTTGATAGTTGTTACACAGTGAATTTATTAAATATTTGGCTTATTAATATACTTTCTAGTAATGGTTTTCCTCTATTGATCTATATTACCCCCTCCCTTCCACCAGGAATTCTCAAGCACTTACTATATCCATAGTACTGTGGTAGGCATGTTAAAGATCGCAAAATAGACCTGAGATGTGGACTACTACTTTTAGTACCTTATGATCTAATTGGGGAGACAAGACATAATATGAAATAAATAACATTATCATTGTAATGGTAACCTAAAAGACCTGCTAGGTCTGAGTCCTAGCCCTACTATTCACTTGCTATGTGACCTTGGGAAATTTACTTTTCCTTTCTGAGCCTTAATTTCTCCACACAAATAGTAGTTGAACGATAGATCTCTCAAGAGGATCATGAGAATCAAACAGATAATGGATGTCAAGTGCTAAGTAACTAAAGTATCTATCTGTGGAAATGACAAATGAGATAATAGATATAATATGCTTTAAAGCAATATGTAAATGTCAGACATTATTGTTGTCAGGAATATGACAGTTTTTCAAAGCAGGATCTACCTTTTATAGCCCCAAATAAAACAGTGATTCCAGCCATTTTAAGTAATATAATCTTTAGAACACAGAGCAGGGAGAACACTGTACTGGGAAGCACAACATTTGGTGTGACTGAAGCCTTTGTGGCTCTTGTCTCAGCTCTGCCACTAACTAGACCTATATCTTTGGACAATTCATTAAGTTCCTTAAGGGCAAGGATTATTTCATTTTTGTCTTTGGATCTCCAGCAATGGCGCAATGTCAGGCTTATAGTAGGATCTTAATAAAGAGTTGTTAATTAACCCCTATGACCTTCATTTTCCTCATCTGTAATATGAGGGGGTTAGTCCAGCTGATTTCTAAGGTTCTTTCCAGCTTTGATACACTCTGATTCTATATTTCCAGGTGTTAAGGTAATGGTAGATATTTGGAGAAACATTTTAGGATCAAGTTTGCCAGTGATATGCAATGTGCCTATTTTTTCCTATATTTTAATGTTTTTATATTATATTAGAATATGCCAGCAAATCATTAAAAAGATTGATTAAAATGTCATAATTTGGGTCAAATGTGTAATACTTACATGAGGAACATCTTCAAATGGAACTAGATGACCCATTTTAAAATACTGTACCACGTACTAAGGAAGCAGTTATGTCAAATGATGGAAGCATCATGATAATCACAGAAAAAAAGTCAACTAAATGGCTTCCCCAAGAGCAAGTCATGCCATACTAACCTCATTCCTTTTTTGATTGGCTTTCTAGAATGGTAGATCAGGGGAATGATGCAGACATAGAATCAGAGCTGGAAGAGACATTAGGGGTCATCTAGTTCAATCCTCAACATGTTCTGTGAATATTTTAGCCTAGAGAGAGTAAGTAGCTTGCCCAAGGTCATGCAGGAAATATGGCAGAGCTTGGGTTCAAAGTGGAAAGTATTTTGACTCTAAATCCAATATTTTTTTCTATCATACCCCACTGACTCTCATAAGTTTAGCCAGACTTAGCAATATATTTGACAAAGACTATTGCTCTATTCTTATGGATACGTCAAGAAACAGATTAAATAATATTATGGTCAGGTAGATTCAGAATTAGCTGAATAGCCAGGCTCAAAGAATAGTGCCTAATGGTTTGCTGTCTACTTAGAAATTCTAGAGACTTCCGTGAAATACTTTAGGAATCTGTGTTTTGCTGTGTGCAGTTTAACATTACTATCAATGACCTGGATAAAGGCATAAATGGATGTTGACATAAAGCTAAGAGGGATAGTCAACACGTTGGATGTCAGAGTCAGGATTCAAAAAGATCATGGCAGGTTTTAACACTGGACTAAATCTAAGGCATGGCTAGACAGCAGTTCATCTGAAAAATATTTGGGGGTTTTGATGGACATAAATCAACATGTGTGATACTTCAATAGATCTGTGAATTCATTGATGTGGGGTGCCCTTTCAATAGCACAGACTGTAATAATCCATTTGTGCTTTCTCATCCTACAGGATTCTTAGCCATAACCTCCATAAATCCTCCCAAGGGCAATCACTCAACTTGACAGAGATCTTCTTCTAGGTAGCTTCATGTTGCATAGCCTCCGATGGGCCCATCAATGGTTTCTCTTCACTCTTGCTAAATAACTCACCTTCTTTTCTGGTTATATAT